GTAAGGTCTTTAGAGATGGACTGGGCCTTCTTCTGTGTTTGGAGGTTGCCTAGCATATTGTGGGTGCTAGTGAAAACAAACAATAACAATAATCACCAGTAGTTCATATGATTCAGTTTGTGACCACCCATCCTCCAGGTAGGCAAGCTTAGTTTGGATCTACTCTGACATTTCCAAAGAAGTGGGGAGCAGCACAAAGGGCCTAATGGCCCTGAGAATCAGACCACAAGATTTGAAAAGTAAGTGACTGGAAGAGTAGTCAACAGGCAGAATGACAGTGACTGGGAGAATGGGAAGAGACAGAATGAGGGAAACTCACTGACATGGGAGAAGAAAAGAATTGAGTCATACAGAAAGAAGAAAGCTCCTGTCCTGTTCCACAGAACAGACGGATTTAAAATAACTAACATCATTCACAAGAATGAGTCCATTTATCTCCTTCATACCGCTGCCCCAAGAATCTCCTCCCCCAATGAGTTGCTCAAAGACATCAGTGCAAATTATATTCTTTACGTCCCCCGCTAAATTACTGCTGAAGAAACGCTAAATGTCGCTGTGCTGCAAGGATCCATTAATTTATATTTTACTTCTCTTACTGCTTATGATTTAAGGAAATGGAATCCTCATTTTAGGATCCTTATACCATCTTCGTTGTCAATCTGGGAGCCTAGTATAGTATTTCTAGCCCCTTAAAGGCAGTACGCCCATTCCAGATGGAGCTGTTTTTTTAAAGCAGAAATGAATGTGCAGAAGCAGGTTGGAGAGAGATAATGAAAGCAAAGGAGAAGGGGGAAGAGAAGGACGGAAAATTCCAATGTGCAGAGAAATGATGTCAGAACACTTCAGACCTCTAGCCTAAATCATGCTTCTAAATACAGTGCTGAGCGTCTCAAAAGACATGCAGCCAAGCCATTTCCTAACCCAGCTAATGCCCAGCCCAGCAAACATGAAAAGGAGCCAAACTCGGATACTCAATTCTGATCTTTTCAGCATTCTGGAATCCTATACAGTTCACTCAGTACCTAATAATAATGAAAAAACGGTGAGAAATTTGTTGACCGAGCAGGTGAACAGATTTTTTACTTTAAAAATGAATTGGATGCTTAGAATCAAATTCTGTCCTCATATCCACTTATTCAATAGCTTGGAAAGCAACAGGGTTGTATGGGTGTAGTTGAGGGCAGAATCTGGGTAGATGTAACCCCTTGATTTCAAGGAGATTGCACTGTCGTAGCTTAAGGCAGGGGTTTGGCCATGACACCTTGTAGTGCAGAGGGAGAGAGAGAGAGAGAGAGACTGCTGTTGTACATTGTAGCTGTAGTGTCCCTCGCCCTAATCTCCTTTAGTTCCTGGGCCCTATAAGTCCCCTTCCCCTAATGATTCCTTTGCCCCCTCAAGCTTCCTTTTCCTATTAGCTTCCTATTATTATTGATAATGAGGGGTGCGATGAGGATCCTAAAAAGCTTCCTTTTCCCAAACTCTCCTGTCCAAACTGGAGTCTCCATAGCTGAAGAACTTCTAAGGAATATAAGGAGGAATCCGTACTTCAGTGCTTATAAGCATATCCACAGATGTGTGTAGCAGCCTCTCCAGTGGAACAATAAGTTGTACTGGAGAAAGAACTCAGCAATAGTGGACTTAGTTCTAAATTTAGGCTCTGCACCTCCTCGGAGAAGGACCCTTGTAAGGTGTGTTGGACAGGGCTTTCTGGCAATGCTTAATTAAATGTTATACTGTAATGCATACATGCAAAGGGACAGAGGAGAGGTTGAACATACAACCTTCATTTGGCATTTGCTGGTTTTTGAGCTCTCAATTGCGCAATTTCACTATTCTATCCAGGTCAGAGCATGGGTGGGGGTTCAAGGACACAGATAATACAGTTAATAGCAATAATTTCCCCTTATATAGCACTTTCTATCCCGGGATCTCAAAATGCTTTGCAACACCCGTGTCAGGTGGGTATTAATATCTGCATTTCACAGATGAGGCACAGAGCCACTGAGTGACTTGTCCCAGGTCACACAAGACATATGTGGCAGAGCAGAAAATAGAACCCTGTCACCTATTCTGTGCTTTACTCTTCAGATGATCCTTCTTTTCCTTACCAATTTTCACCTAACTACAAAATCT